TTGGGTGCCCCGTGCTTGTTGGGTTGAGCTTTCTTGACCACTATTGCACGTGAGCTGACCATTCAGATTCAGGTATCCTGAAACTGAAAAAAATACTCTAGCCATCAGATTTCCTCTTGCCCACGTAGCATTAACCAGAGATGTCTAGTTACTTCATTGCAAGGTAGAGTGCATCATGGATGATATCAGAGATGTACAGATATCAAGGCACAGTCATCCAGAAGGTGGAGAAATATTCTAGTATTACAGTTTGTTTTTAGGGGGCTTTAGTAAATTGAACGCAATTATATCCATTAGACAATGCTTTTTAAATATGAATTAAAAACATATCAATTTGTGGCATACAAATCACGTAATATTGGACTAATTGCTAATCAAAGCGTCATTTTGGACGCTCAAATCAAATGTCGTCCATTAAAAACATATGGAATGAGATATTTTGTTTTTGTTTAATCTTTCTACTACTCCCTCTGTCTCCCTATCTAGGAGTGCTAGTGGATGTCCTGATTCACTCAATATTCAATGTACCTGTACACCCTCTATGTCGTTCAGATACTTTTTTGCTGCACAAGTACAGAGCTAAAACGACTAACATATCCGAGTCTACGATTGTTTGCGACAACAAACAAATAATATATTCATTGTCAAGAAGATGTATGTGAGTATATATATATATATAAAGATATAAAATTTCTTAGTGCCAAAACAAGAGCACAATAATTAAATGAAAGCTTCGGCTATAAATATAAAACTTATACTCCATCTATTTTTATTTACATGTCGTATTAGGTTTGTCCTAAGTTAAACATTTATATTTTTGACCATCATTTTTAAATATATATATATATATATATATTCATGATATAAAATTTATGTTTTTACATTCACTATGACAAATACTTTCATAATCTATAATTTATATTGCAAAACTATAAGAATATTTTAAAATAGATCGTCAAAGATAGTAATGTTTGATATAGGACAAAGCTAATCTGACATGTAAAAAAAAAAGACGATAGCTGTATCTGCGAGTTTGCTCATCTTTCCATAGAATGATTTGTCTATGTTCGAAAGAACCAAAGGTAGTCTCATTTATTATGAGTCATGTCTTAGGAATCTTGTAACAGAAAGCACTATGCTTTTACAAAACCTCGTATATGAAACCATGGGAACAACAGTTGTGAAACATAAATAAACTCTGTTCTATATATTTTATAGCCAGCTACAATTGCCAATCAATGGCTTATTATCTAAATCAAGCTTCATCGATAAATACAAAATTCACAACAAGAAGACGACAATTGTATTTGTAACATTGCTCGGTTTCTAGATAGTGATATGTGCATTTTTGAATGAGTAGAGGCTACTAACATTTATTATGAGTCACTGTTGAGGAATTTTACAACAGAACCACCTTGACCCCGTTTGCTTCGCTGAAAAAACAAGCCAAAACACTGTTTCGCCTGATTTGTTGTGAGAGAAAAACACTGTTCTGGTTGAAAAAACAAGCCGAAAAAGACGGATTATAAGAGAAGCAAACATGGCCCTTGTTTTGCAAAATCTTTGCAGGCTCAAACTAAAAGAACAGCGCTTCAACAGCAGAACAGCTCAGGTAGACCCTTTTTTTATAATCCTTGCAAGGTCCTAAAGAATCATGATTTGAGTAAAAGAAAGGTATAGAGCGTGACCCACAGTAAAGAAATTAGTATTATGGAAATATCATGATTATAATTTATAAGCCCAGTTGCGAAATATGAAATTAGGCTTTGTTTAGTTCCAAAAACTTTTCCCAAAAAGTGCTACAGTAGCCATCACATCGAATCTTGCGAGAAACATTAAATATAGACGAAAAAAAAAACTAATTGCACAGTTTGGTTGGAAATCGTGAGATAAACATTTTGAGCCTAATTAGTTCATAAACACTAATTATCAAATAAAAATGAAAATACCACAATAGCCAAAATTCCTAAAATTTACGAACTAAACGAAACGAGGCCTTAGTACCAAACAGCGCAACCTTTCTTTGTATCTATGATGAGTCGGGTGCTACTCTGAATAATAAAATCATATCCTGCCGTACGGGCCACAAAACCAAAATCATACTGTATACTCCCTCTGAAAAAAATAATAATTTTAGCTTTGAACTTGGGTACGGACGCGTGTTCAGGTTAAAACTAAAATTGTGTTTTTTTTATGGAGGGAGTATAAAAAAACCGGACACGACGCGATAGCCGGATCATCCACGCACGTACTGTACGTTGCGGCCTATATAGCCACGTCTACATATCAAAACGGCCCGGCTCCCCGTCCCCTTCCGTCACGTCACCGTCTGATCCTAACGTGAAAAGCGAGGGGCGAGCCCGTCATTTCTGGCCGCATTTCGGAAGCGCTGCCCCGACGCGATTGGACGGAGCCGCGCGGACAGCGACGCGCAGGCCCGCGATTGGTGGACTTGGGCGACCGTACTTTGGCCGTCCGGAAAAGCCCCCAGCCTGGCCGCGGCCGAAACGTCCTCGCGGAGGCGTTAAAGGGACGTTACGGTTGGCGGGTCTCTGGTGCGGCAGCTGGCTGCTTATCGTTATCGACGATCACCTGTCAGTCCTTTGGCTCCTTGCTCCCGGCCGTGGGCCCCATGGAAGAGTGGTGGTGGCGGAGCCGTGGAGGTGGGGGATCGTGGGACCCACAGAATTGAAAGCCGTCTGCGTCGAGGTGGCATCCATGCGCCCATCATGCACTGCACCCTGATTGAGACGGGCTACAGATCAGACACCAACAAGTGGGCTGATAAACAAGTTTGCGTTTGTTAGCAGACAACAATGTCTTTAGCTCTCTCTTTCAAAAAACAATGTCTTTAGCCACCTAATCAGGTTCTTTCCGGCTCTACGTCTGGGGCATTTACATATTTATCACTATTACGGATGATATCTTACACTATATCACTGACACATGAGTCCCTGACATGGTATTTTTTATACCACTCACATCGCTATGATAGTAAATATGTAAAAATTCCCTGTGCAACAACCTATCTAGAGCCGTTTGGAAGACTGGAACAAGGAAATTTTATAAAGGCACAGGATTGTAGAGAAATTTCAGCGCTCCGTAAGGGTTGCTACTCATTTTTTTTCAAAAAAGAACAAAACTATCGCAAAGGTAATAGTATTTCGTTACTAGACATACTGCAAGGTGACTGTAATAGCGTTTTTCATATTGTTGCCTTGCCGAACAAAACTGCAGTAAAAGGAGGAGGATTGATGAGCTTTTGACGGGACGGGACGTGATGAATGCATTTTCCACGCAGCACAATGATGTTTGGTTTTCCTTCACGGAACCATCTTTTGGTGAATGGGACGGCACCATTTACTTTGGGAGCCCCCAATTACTTTGCGTTATCCGAACTTATGGGGCATAATTGATGGTAGCTAGTGGTTGCCCACGCATCAGAAAACAACTGCTTGTGCAGTCGTGCCTCGACAAATTCCTGTGTTGGGGCAAACCTCTCCATTAGTGAAAGCAGCCCCTCGGTCAAATCAACTGCTGATTGCGACAAGGGACGTTTGGCGATCGAGTCCCTCGCTTGTTGAATTATTCATTCATGCATTTATTCGCTCATTTCTTGCACTTAATATAATTTTTCTCGATCTTCAAAATTATTCAGTTATTCCCTGCCAAGAATTTCCACTTGCAAAATTGTTATATTTTTCAGGTGAATCCTACTAATGGAAAAAAATAATCAAGTTGCAGAGCAGGAATCCAACCGAACTTAGCCTTTGTTTAGTTCCCACCCAAAAACTTTACATCTGTCACATCGAATATTTAGGCACATGCATGGAGTATTAAATATAGACTAAAAAATAATTAATTGTACAGTTTGTGACCTAATTAGTGCATAATTTGACAATAAAGTGCTACAGTAACATGTGTGCTAATGATGGATTAATTAGTCTTAATAAATTTATCTCGTGGTTTACTGACAGATTCTGTGATTTATTTTTTTATTAGTACCCGAACACATCATGCAACACCTCCTATAATATCCGATGTGACAACTCAAAACTTTACGACTTCCCTTTAAACAAGGCCTTAAACCACCTGGAACCAACCAAAGCTTATCATTTCCCCCCGATAACACGCAACACAAAGCAAACGCTCTTGAGCATAATCCCAATTATACCCCCGTTTCAGAATATGTTCTTCTCTTGCACTTCCATTTTTCTTTTACGAGACCAGATCCTTCTCCACTGGTAACTCTAGTAGCACTGTTTATAAGTATCTTTTTCTCTTTTTGTAAAATGAACGTGGAGTCAAGAGAAGCCATAATTTGTGGCTTCTTGGGTTCCGGCTCCTCTGGTAATATAATGCAGATGCGGAGACGTAATAACATTTTTTTTGCTACAATCCCTCTGTATATTTATTCTTTTTGGCCAATTTCTATGCTAAGTAAAATTGATGTTCTAAATAATTTATGATTAATTTTCGAGAAAAAATAATAATTTATGATTACTTAATTGTACAGTTCATCTCATCGTTTTTCGAGCAGATATTTGGTATATTTTTACTCACCCTATTCAAGACCTATATGATTACTTCGATAAACTTATTCTGCATATCAAACCAGCCTATCTGACATATCAAGCATAATGAGGTGCTAATTAAAACACTCTTTGCACATAGCTTTAAACGGTTTTAATTTATTGCTATAATAGCTTCATCAACTTCAGATTTGTTTGAGGGGAGAAACCGAGAAAGAAGAGGGGCTCTTATGAAGAGTGCTCCGAGGACTGGTAAGTGCTAACCGAGCCTGTTTGGCTGTTTGAAGTAGGACCGAGAGACTAACGCACGAGGGTATAACAGGAATGAGAGCAAAAGCGCGGTCCCGGTCCGGCCGGATCCGAATATTCCGCCTCGCCGTAGCTCCCACTCGTGTCTTTAAATAGGCCACCGCCCCTCGGCCTCCTCCGATGGAGGTAACCCAAACATCAGAGAGACATTACTGAAGTATGAGTGCGGAGCTGAAGAGGGACTACGAGATAGGCGCGGAGATCGGTCGCGGCCGCTTCGGGGTGGTCCACCGCTGCACGTCCCGCGCCACCGGCGAGGCCTTCGCCGTCAAGTCCGTGGACCGGTCGCAGCTGGCCGACGACCTCGACCGCGAGCTCGCGGAGCTGGAGCCGAAGCTGGCGCAGCTCGCCGGCGCGGGCAACCCCGGCGTGGTGCAGACGCACGCGGTGTACGAGGACGAGGCGTGGACCCACACGGTGATGGACCTGTGCACGGGCCCGGACCTGCTCGAGTGGTTGGGCCTCCGCCGCGGCGCGCCCGTGCCGGAGCCCCTGGCGGCCGCCATCGTGGCGCAGGTCGCGCAGGCGCTTGCGCTCTGCCACCACCGCGGGGTCGCCCACCGCGACGTGAAGCCCGACAACATCCTCATCGCCGGGAACGACGGCAAGGACGAGGAGGAGGATGGCGGCGAGGCCGAGGCCGAGACGGCGCCGCTGGCGCCGCGCGTGCGGCTGGCGGACTTCGGGTCGGCGGCGTGGGTGGGCGCCGGTGGGTTCGGGCGCGCGGAGGGCCTGGTGGGGACGCCCCACTACGTGGCGCCCGAGGTGGTGGGCGGCGGCGAGTACGGCGCGAAGGCGGACGTGTGGAGCGCCGGCGTGGTGATGTACGCGCTGCTCTCCGGCGGCGCGCTCCCCTTCGGCGGCGAGAGCGCCGCGGAGGTGCTGGCGGCCGTGCTGCGGGGTAGCGTGCGGTTCCCGCCCAGGCTGTTCAGCGGGCTGTCGCCCGCGGCCAAGGACCTGATGAGGCGCATGATCTGCCGCGACGAGTGGAGGAGGTTCACCGCCGAGCAGGTCCTCGGTGAGTCTTGTGTTCCCCCACAACCTGGCTCTCTTCTCCTCCCGTTTTAGCTTGATAGTACAGGTTTCTAACAAATCTGGCGTTCGTAATAATGCAGCTCACCCGTGGATCGTGAGCGGCGGAGGAGCCCGGGCAATGGAGCGGCCAACCTGAGGATGAGGAGGGTGGAGGGCACACCATACCATACCAGCAGAGCAGACCATGGCGGGCGGACGTGTATTGCCGTAGAGACACGGCAAGGAATCCCGACGTTATGTATAAGGTTTTGTACTGTACACCGTATGTAGGTACGGACCAGAGGAGGAGAGATGGAGAAGCTGTACGTACGCTGTGGTGTACGGTATGTAGCTGCTGCCGGCGGCAGAGTAGCATGCTCGCGGTGTAGTCGCAGCAGAGCAGATCGATCAGCGCAGGCTTCTTTCTGGTTTTTCTTACCCACCGGGTTTTTGGGATGCTCTTTACCTAGCAGAGCACCCTTTTTGGATGTGCTTGGTAGCTGGATGTATATACACTGACCGTCTTGTACAAATGGAGTGGAGTTGAATAAAATCCTGCGTTTGTACTTCATTTGCATCTTTTTATTACGTTCATGCGTTTCTGATACTACATGGTGTGGAAAAACATTTCAGTTCATCAGGGAACGCCCCCGCTCCACTTCGAGCTGGAGCAATATTCTGTTCAGGCTTGAGGGTGTACAATTAGAAAGGTTCTAGAAACGGACAGCGCGTCACTACACCGGTATGAGCTGTGCTCTTACGTAGTAGGAGTAGAGCGGCGCCCCGGTAGTCTTGTACAGCCATTTGCTCTGTCTAAGCCTCCTCAGGCCGTGACTGGTGTTCCGTCTCTAACCAGCCACTTTCTATCTACTCGCCCTGCTACCTCTATAATTCGGGGGCTGGCTCAGTTTTTTTTTGACACTGTCAATTTTCCAAGTGTTCAAATTCCTTTTTTCTTCCCTGTTTGCTTGTTGGTTTCAGCCAGCCCAAACCAGTCAACCAATAGTGTTTTTCTCTCACAAAAAATCAGCACCAGCCAGCCCAAACCAGCGCCAGCATCAACCAGCGAATAGGCCCAATTTCATCATTTCATGGCCTTTTTCCTGTTTGTTCCGGCTCCACGACCTACCTTTTTCAACGTCCCCTGGGCCTCCTCCCCTCCCTGGCTCCCTCCATGACCATGTTTAGTTCGGCGGAGTTGGCATCGCCGGATTTACTGTAGCTACAATATAGGTACAGTAGCGTTTTGTTTTTATTTGGTAATAATTGTCTAATCATTGACTAATTAGGCTCAAAACGTTCGTATCGCAAAGTCCAACCAAACTGTGTAATTAGTTTTTGATTTCATCAATATTTAGTACTCCATGCATGTACCGCAAGTTTGATGTGACGAGAAATCTTCTTTTTGCACCGTGTCAAAGTTTGGATTTTGGATTAAACTAAACATGCCGAGCATAGTGTCAAGTTTTTTCTCCGGTTGCTTCAGCGAGAAGGAGTACTACGTTCGGCGGATCGAGCGCGTGCGACCTGTCAGCGTATCACGTTTTGCGCGCGCGCGGACTCGTCACGTCCGGTCCGGCCGTACGAACAAGACCGACGGGGCGCTGGCATATTCGCCGGTTTATTCCTTGTCCTCTCTCTTCGCTCCCGTCCGCGGCCCCGTCCGAATCCATCGCTTTCCCCGTGCTCGTTTTGCTTGGTTGGCAAGGAAAAAATTCGATGCCGATCGCCCGAGCGCAAGGCCCAAGGCCGCGGGGCTGGGGAGGAATCTCGTTGCGCGACGCGTCCGTCGGGGGCACGCGAAGACGGGCAGATCCATCAAAGGGACGTGGCACGGCTCGGTTCCTTCGACGGCGCCTCTCGTCCGCGTCGCCGTACTACGAGGGCACGCTCTGTGCAGCTGTGCCCTTGCGTCCGCGATCGGCTTCCACTTGGATGGAACATGTCGAGCACTCAACCCGTCCACCCGTCCTCGATCAATTAAGTAATTATTAAAAAATGGAGCAGCAGTTTTGGTGCTTGTGTGGGGGTTAGCCATCATCCTCGTCGATCGATCCAATAACAGCTCGGCAGCTTCACGGCGAAGCCTGTGATCGACATGATTAACCTTGAATGAGTCCCTTCCTGAATGGACGCTATCGTAGTGTGGAGTGAGATGGAGACCACTGACAAAGCATTATCAAAAAGTGACGTGCGAGACTGCGCGCCGCGACGATAGGGAAGGTGGTGTTGCTCTACGCACACGTACTGCGAGCTGCTTCGGATCACGCATGTAGCTGCTGTTTCTGATAAGCTGATAAGAGAGCCATGGCAATTCCAGATTCGAATTCGAAGGATTCCTGGTGATGGCTTCAAGCGGATGCATGCGGGCGGCCCGCAGTCCCGCAGAGGTTTAAGTGACAGTCCCGCAGAGGTTTCAAGCGGATGCATGCATGCGTCGCAACGTGCAAGCCCGCGCGGCCCACCGGCGGCCGGCACGTGGTGCTGTCGGCTTGTCGCCGAGGTGGTGGGTACGGGTACGATCGAATCTGTGTGCACGGCAAGTGTCTAGTGCGCCGGACGACCTACCTGTAGTCCTGTACTGTACGGTGCCTGCGTGACGGTCGCTTTCTGTTCGGCGCTTTCCGGTAGGCTGTCGACTGTCTTCCGATCCTTTGCCTTTCATTTCAGCGGCTCCTTATCAGCTTATCCATCCCCCAGCACGAATGGTGGTGACCCTTTTTTTTAGGTAAATGTAAAAAGGCCACTACGGTTTCCATGCCACTGGATCGGATGGTTGTCTCTCTGGAGTAGGAAATCTGGAGCGTAGTAGCGTCGCCGTCGGTGCTGTGCGTGGTGCATAGCAGCATAGGGGCCACTAGCCAGGTGGACCAGCACCATCCGCTGTCCTAATCCAGCATGGGCGCATGACGTGTGAACTTGAAACAAGAGGAAGATCCGAGACCCTGTTCGCTTGGGCTTGTTTGACTTATAAGCCGTGCTTTTTCAGCCAACGAACAGTATTTTTCTCTCATACCAAATCAGCCAACGGTACTTTCAGCCATGACTTTATCAGTCAAACAAGGCTAAGCGAACAAATTGTTAAGTACGCGAACTTGGAACAAGAGCATGGGCGCAGCATTGATGTGAGGTTGAAACAAGAGGAAGATCCAAATCGTTATACACGTAGTTGGATGGTTGAAGTGAGTGAGGAAGTGGAACTCAAACTGCTTCGCGAATCGCGATGGCGATCGAATAACGAGTTAGTGGCCTGCAGCGGGAGTAGTATCACTGTTGTAATTTGCCGATGAAACTCGATCACACGCGCGGCGCGCCTGCAAATAGCTAGTACGGACGTGGCCTATACGGACTATAGGCGTTCCGTGCACGTGTCAGCTCCTTCAGTCACTACGGAGTACTCCACTCCACTCACTAGTAGAACAACTGTGTGGCCTCGCGCTTCCGTAGTCGCCGGTGAAGTACTATCGTGTTGGCATGCTGCGCTACACACAAACACAAGCGAGCAGACGTCCCGAGTCCGGACAAACTCTTCCAATGGTGGATTGGTGTGTGGTGCCCAACGAGAAAGTGTGTTGTGTTGGTGGTGCCTGGTGTCCTGAACCTGAACCTGTTTGTTTGTCTGTGCGTCCGGCCGGCCGTCCTTCCTTCCACCCATAACCACGTGTGTGGCGAGTTTGGGATGGACCAATGGACCATTTGGTTCGTTTCGCCAATCGCCATTGCCGTGGTGGGATGCAACCACACTACTATTTCTCGCTTAAATTGCAGCTGTGCGTAGAAATCTCAGCGAATAATGCTAGCTAGGTCAGACCAGAACAGAAAGCAAGTTCGGTGCCTGCACCTCAGGTAACTACGGTTCGCTCTTTACACGATCAGCCACGTTCGTTGGAAATTGGGCGCAGTGCTTCTCCTGATCAGCCTATCACCTCTGCAAAACCCTTCTTTCGTGTAACAACCCCAGCCTGTTCGTTTGGCTGTGGCTGGTCGTAAACGATCGTAAATTTTCAGCCGGAACAGTATTTTTCTCTCACACAAACCAGTCAGCAGTAATTCTTCACGAACCAGCAACGAAACGAACCAGCCAACCGAACAGCGCTAAGCAGACGAGACAAAGTGAGCACGAGCAACTTTTGACGTGTGATCGATGTGACGGCTAATTTTGTTAAAAAAAATGTGACGGCTATTGCGTTGCTGGCCAACAATTTCACCAGCCTACAACGGAAAATAAGTTAGGTTAAAGTAGCATTCCGCAGGTTGTCGTCGCTGTCACTTTGGCAAACACGATCGTCGTTCCTTGCGATTATCGACGGACGGGCGGTGATGCTTTTGTACACGAGATTTTGTACTAACATTAACCAGGGACGACGGCCGAATCGAGCACACGATCAGGTGCAACTCCTGCCCAGGAAAGTAGCGGGCTGCCAAATCGATCGGGTACACTGAGCGGTGAACTTGCACCAAAGGCAGCTGCAGGCCCAGGAATGATGCATTGCTCGTGACTCTTCGCTACTCAATGGCACAGTTTCCTTTTGCACGATATAATTCTTGCAAACAAACTACAAGCCCAATAATGTATATCTTTTTTAATAAGCACAAGGCCAATAATATTCAATGGCACACAGAGCTCTCATTTATGAAAAAGAAACACTGAGTTTGGTAATTGGATTGCTCGATGACTGCAAGTCTGCAACACAACAGTTCAGAGGGAAACAGCCAAGTCGTTTTCAAAGATGGGCCTTCTACTTAGGCAAGGCTGGTGTTACCTTGCTGGCCTGCTAGAAACTAAAAGATCTTCTACTTAGGCCAAGGCTGGTGCGCCCTTGCTAGCCTGATGATAGTAACAAAGCAAAATGCGATCAAGAGCATTGCAAGCACCAGCGAAGCAACAGACTATGGTGGCAAATCATGCCTTATACAGCGTCAAAGGCGACGTTCACAGTTGCAGAACAAATATCACGGCAAAAATATTGGCCGGATCGGAAGAAAAAAGCCTCGGGAGAATACAGGGTGTGTACACACCGAACCACGCAGTGGTTAAGAATAAGTGTGCCTATAACAGTCCCTCTCGTAACGTGCCTCGGTTTTTGCACTAGTTGAAGTCAGGCTTCTCCGGGTAAGTACAGCCCGGGCGCTGGATGATAACATTTGCGGCATAGCAACCAGCCCTCACGCTGTCTTCAATGCTCTTGCCCTGAACCAACTGTGAGAGGAAGCCTCCAACGAAAGCATCGCCTAGGAGCAAGGAGGATTGGTTATCAGGAACAGAAAATAAAATGTCGAGAAGCCTTAGTTCAAATCCATTTGCTGGTCATTTTCAATTTTAAGTTGCAGTACTAGTGTTGTAGAAGGCTTTGTACCACACATATTTTCCCCATTTATTGCAGGTTACCAGAAGATACTGAGTCACAACATGACAATTGAGTATATGGACTATGGAGTATTTGAAATTAATTAGTCACAAAGAATACAAAAGAAGAGAGACGAGTTGATTGCAAGCATGGGGGAGAAGCATATCCTACGGCCTACATTCAGTTTTCATAAAATGCCTTAATAGTTAACATTGTTTGGAAGATTTTTTTGAGAACACAACAATTAGCATTTGAGAAAAAAAAGTCAGAAATAGAGAAACTCTTTTGAACCAAGAACGTAAATTACTAGCTCTTAACACTAAAGAAACATGTACCTGCGCCGTTGGTGTCAACAAGCTTCTCCTTGGGCAATAGGATCACAGGGAACGTTTTCACCTATTATCAACATAATAGTTAGTACACCATACTCAACAGCTTGTACAAAAACACTTAAGATGGCAGATTCAATTCTTCATTGAAAGATAAAAGAAAAAACTACAGATGCAAAATCCTTGGGGAAGCAAACAACCACTGTGCAATCAACTTAGTTTCCAAAAGGGCATCAAAGATCCCAAGCGGAACCATAAGAGCAAGGACATGTTTGTTACAGAAAGGGGGTGGAAAAAGATTGTAAGCAAACATGTACAGAAGGAATTTATCCTTGTTTTGTTGCATGTCCAACAGGCAAAAGCATGTATATTTGACAAAAAAAAATGATCAAAAAAATAAATATTTGATTGAAACTAGCTTTGTCAAGTTGTCACTTAACGACTAAAATAGCACAATATGTCATGTTATAAAAGTTTAGCATCAAACTGATAAAAGCATATACCTTCCCGTCCTCAGCGACAACCACTGGATCAGCACCTTGAGTAATCACAGCAATCCTCTTTTGCTTGCCTGAAGCCAAAGGAAGTTGAGAGATCTTCAAAGCAATCTCCTCAATATTCTCAGTCTACAATTTATCACAGATAATTAATCAGCAACACAATCATCAAAGGCAAATATTACAGGAGTATAGAAGACTTAATCCATAATCACCTCCCATCCTCGGACTTTGGCGAATATCTTTGCCTCAGTTTCATTGCCAAAGATGTAGTCAGCATACCTATATTGGTAATAAGTAGCAACCATATATTCAAAAAAAGATTTAGAATCCATAAAATGCATGGACAGCAAAGCACATCAGTAGGCCCTTCATGTTTACAACAGAATTAATTAAGTCTGGAAGATTAGCATGTTGAATACATAGGAAAATGTCTTGACTAGGATAGGCATTGCTTTCTGGTTTTTCACTGAGTTGCTATATGCAGCCTTGAATAGTTGAATGAAGTTCAAAACACTGAGCATCGTGTTACAGAATATAAGACTTACGGGAGGACCTTCTCTTGGGCATCACGGAAAAACTCACAGATGAAGGGAGCAGAGAGGTTCATCAGGAACACCTAAAAGTAGCATGGTCAATCAAACTAAAACAACAACTTCAAAGGGCACTTTCATATTAATATGAATTTACCTTGTTGTTTGCTGCAGCATGCTCAGCAACTAGCTGGATAGAATCAGGTGACACCGTGAAGGAAAATCCAGCAATGTAGATATATTTTGCCTTCTCAACTGTCATCAAGAATATTATATTTGTCAGGTAAAGAAAACTAGTACATCTTAAGATAAATAGAGATCAAATAAAGGTGATCAATCAGTCAAGGACAACACCACATTCAATGCTAAAATTTTTGCTAACCACAAAACAACTCTCGTCATGCAGATTATTTTCACCCAACAAAAAATGTAACGATTCATTTCTGTGATGCAACTTAAAAATAGAGTACAAACCTACCGTATTCTCCACGTAAACAGATAAAAGTAAACTAGCTGTGCCATTTGCTAGAGTACTCCGAAACATGTGAAACCTACTGTTGATCAACTGATATTTTGTGATCACTAAAGTAGTGCGTGTTTTTCTGAAAGTTCGCACAGTATTGAGCAACTTTAGAACTTCAAACTAAACATACATAAATCCTCCCAACAAACTAAAGAAATGGTTTTACCAAAAACAAAACAAGTGCTCAAAATATAATTATACCTAGTGCCCAGTTCTCTGGTTTCTTTAGATGTTCAGATTTGTAACAGTTTGCTGCCGACAGATTTGCAATCAATGACCTGATTACATAAGGAAATAACTGATTATTGCAGAAGAAATTGCTGGCAATCAAATTTTTTGTGAAATGGAATGATACAAAAAAAAAACCTTGAATTCATTGACACAACAGATGATACTAGGATAAAATTTGATCTAACAACTACAATCATTTAATATTCTAGTGTTCGGAAATGCTTTTGGGATAAAGTATGGAACAGAATGCAATACTTTCCTGAAAATTTACGCATTTGTGTATGGCATGGCAAGGAACAGCAAAAAGGCAAAAAAAAAAAAGGTACAATCCCTGATCTAACTTTGATGCAGTAAGTAGCGATAGAATGAACAAGGGACAACAACACAGGAAGTAGTCAAATATGTTTACACCAACCTATATCAACTTGTTTAGCATGATCTTCAAAGATAGAGATTAGAGAATGCAATTACTGTGCCAAAGTTGTTACACAGAGAAAATTATAAACCTCAAACTACACATGCTAGTGATGATGCAATCAAAGACGATCCTTAGCAACTTGAGCACTGAGCTTCATCACAGGGTAAAAGAGAATATAGATTATAGAATGACATGAAAATACATTATCATAATCATGCAATAGTCCTATTTAATGGTCACTAAACGGTGAACGCAATGCCAAAACAACACCAACGGCAGAAGTTATGCAACATAAGTGGTATTTAGACAACAAACCTTTCACCACCAACAACACATACAGCACATGTGCCAGTAGGAGCAGTCTCATCCTCGTAGTAATGAGCCTGAGTGAGTATGCGACAACATCAAGGCCACATTAGTCAATTAACCAATAAATTGGAACATTACTGTCTAAAGTAGCATGAAGAAGATGAGATTAAAAACTAACAGTAACTCCTGCAGCTTGGGCATTTTTCTTCATCTCCTCACCAAACTTGTCCTTTCCGATGCATCCCATGTAACTTGTTGCACCAGGAGTTTGAAGCATCCACTGAAAACAATGACATGCCATCAATAAACTGATGTAACTACAGTTTTTGGTTGTTCACATTTTAGTAGATTCTATAAATGCCCATTTGGACGACGTAGTTTTAGAAAACTGAGGCATCATGAAACTGTGGTTTTATAATCCAAAGACATACAAAAACCTTGGTTTAGAAAAAAGAGGTCAAGAGAGGAGTTTCTAAAACTCCAAAAGGACTATGGTTTTGACAAAACTATGGTTTTAGAAACACAAGGCTTGTTGTATCCAAACACCCAGAAGCTTCTGAAAATCAGAGTATTTTGCATAACCACAGTATTTATCTGATACTCCAGAAATACTGTCTCCAAACGAGGATTAAGAGCTTACTTGGGCAACCCTGATAGAGTTCTGGGTGGCTCCTGTGATAAGAATAAAAAGAATGGAGATACAAACCATTAGAGTCACCAAGTTGTAACAATTTATGGACAACAATACTGCATATACATGTTATAAGAAACATTACCTCCAGCAATATATTCAACGTTGCTCTTGCTAGCCAACTCATCATACCTATCAAAAACCCACCCTATTATTAGATAAAAAGCATACAACAGGACACAGTATTAGAATGCAAATATGTCTTCTCAGTAAAGTTAAACAGACAACAACTCCAAGTTCAGCAACAAAAATATACATAAAAAAATAATGACATATAAAGAAGCATCAGTGATACATATACTTACATAGGCAAGTGCTTCTCCTCGGCGAGAATGGCATTGTTCAGCTTGATATCATACCTAAAACAGGGATGAGAGAAGTGTCAGTATCATGTCACAATTACAACACCCAACTAATAAGCAGAGTAATAATAATCAAACATCATGGCATTGAGATCACCAACTGTAGACCCCTCAAAATTTGGAGATCTCAGATCTCGAATGACAAAGCATAAATTGGACACGAAACAGTGATAGCTAGCATCAATGAATTGCAGCGCGGCGACAACGCCTGCGGATCGCTATGGTGTTTCATCAATTAAACAATTTCGGATCAGTGTCCGGTACTCCGGAATCCCATGCAGATGTCTGCCTTTCGCTGCACGTGCATGCATCTAAGATTACGCCGCAAAACGGTATCGTTTCCGTCGCGGACCTGATGAGACTACGCCGCAAAACCACCGAAAGCAACCAAACCACTACGACTAGGAGTAGCTAAATTCCTATAAACAGATCAGACAGAGAGAGAGGGGAGACAACCGCTTACTTTGCCAGGAAGGCGTCGTCGACGACGGCGGAGATGTCGAGGAGGGGGTTGCCCATCCCCAGGAGCACGCCCTCGGTCGCCGCCATTTCCTCTCTTCTCCCCTGCACACGAACGAAGCGGCGGCGCTGGTGTCTGAGATCTGAGGCTTGTGTTTGGGCGGGCGAGGGCTCGAGTTCGTGTGGTGGGCAAGATGAAGTGGTGATTGTGGTGTGTGTGTGTGTGTGTGTGGGGTGGGGTGTGTGTGTGTGTGTGTGTGGGGGGGGGGGGTTTTACAAAGTTTACAAAGTTTAAACACACTTTGGTACCCTAACACTGAACTTTTTTTTTGTCCAACACGTTATTTCGTCTACTCTTGTCTCTAACAGTGTCAACTATGCTGGAAAATATCTAAACTATCCTCAGGCATAAATGTATGAGATCTTTTAATCTTGGTCGCAGATCCAGAGAGGAACGATTTCATTGCCAGTATAAGTGTATTTCTAAAGTATTTTTGAATTTATTTTTCTAAAGAAAAATGGTTGTATAAGGTGTAAGCATGACTTCACGGTGAGGTCATCAAGCTAGTAAGGCAGAGTTCCCTCTGCTGCTCGCTCCGACCGCTCGCGCGGCATTGCGCGCGTGGCGTTGTCGCAGAAGCCAGCGAGGATGACAAGCCGCGTAGAGCTGCGCCACCCCATCCCGAGCCACTGACACCGCCGCGGTAGAGTTTGACACGCTCGTGGACGTCCAGTTCGGCGACCTAACGGGAACCACGTCGGTCCAGATCTCGGCTCCATGGTTTCCGCCGCCTCCGCCAACCTTAGGGACGACACCACTAGCGGCGTCGACCTCACCTGCGAGAGGACCCTCAACACTTGGATCGACTACTGTCCCTTCGGTTCCGGCAACAGGAAAGGCGGCGTCTTGGAGGTGTTCGTGTCCTACGCGCCCAAGCGCCCGCCCAGGCCCGTGTTGTCCACGCCGCTCGACCTCGGGGAGCACGTCAAGGACGTCGCGTTTGTCGGATTATCCGCCTCCACGCAGGGGAGCACGGAGATGCATGCCATCGAGCGGTGGAGCTTCTCCACTGTGTCGCCTTCGCCATCCCCGCGTGCGGCACCCGTCGCGGCGCCGCCCAATTCTACCCTAGCACTCCCGCCTCTTGTCGCCAACCCGGTGCACCGTCGATGTTGCTCCCAAGAGTGACGACGATGGCGCCGTCGCCACCAGCTTCCTCAACGGGTGCTGCCGCGCTGGCTGGCTCGAACGCGTGGACGCCACGAGCGGCCCGCCCCTGCCCCGCGGTCGCACGGGCCGTCCCCGGCGACGGCGGTGTGGCCGCCGCCACGTGCGCCCTGCCCCACGCCGCGAACGCACGGACGCCACGAGAGCCCCGCCCTGCCTCGCGGCCGCACGGGCCGTCCCCGGCGCCGGCGTCGTGCGGACGCCACGAGCGCTCGCGCTGTCCCGCAGCCGCACGGGCGTCGCCATGAGCGCCCCGCCCTGCCCCGCTGTCGTCCTAGGTACCGGCATTGCGACCACCGCTACGTGCGCCCTGCCCTACGCCACGGACGCGCATGCCATTGAAAGCTCTAGTTTGGTTTTGGTGAAATGATGAAACCATAAGTGCTAACCTAGTTTATCAAGTGATCATGATATAGGTAGCACACTCCAAGTGGTGAAGCGAATGAAGATCATAACATGATGATGGTGATGCCATGGTGATGATCAAGTGCTCGGGCTTAGAAAGAAGAAAGAGAAAAACAAAAGGCTCAAGACAAAGGTATAAATTGTAGGAGCCATTTTGTTTTGGTGATCAAGACACTTAGTGAGTGTGATCACATTTAGGATCGATAGACGTACTATTAAGAGGGGTAAAACTCGTATCGGAATGCGGTTATCAAAGTGCCACTAGATGCTCGAACTCATTACATATGTATTTAGGATCTAATGGAGTGCTAACATTCTTGAAAATGTTTGTTAAAATACGCTAACACGTGTGCACAAGGTGATACACTTGGTGGCTGGCACATTTGATCAAGGGTGGTAAAGTTTAGGTGCAAGGGTAAGAAACTCCACCGACGTCCTAGACAGAAAAGACGGAGGTCACTGTAAGTGACCGGACGCTGGCCTCGGTTGGATCGGAGCGTCCGGTCAGTAGCAGCAGTAAGCGTGTGGTGTCGGTCAAACGACCGGACGCTGGGAGAGTGCATCCGGTCAGTACTGACGTACGCTGACGTAGGGTGTACAGAGGAGACGTTGACTGACCGGACGCTGGGTGAGTCCGGTCGGGCTTGACCGGACATGTTCGGTCATGAAAATTCGCGTTTAGAACCTTACTGGAAACGACCGGACGCTGAGGTCCAGCGTCCGGTCACTTTCTAACTGACGCGTCCGGTCAATAGATGACCGTTGAAATCTGACGAATTGTATTTGAAGCGGGGGACACGTGGCGTGTATCACGTGACCGGATGCTAAGGACCAGCGTCCGGTCGATCGGACCGGAGCATCCGGTCACCCCGCGTTGCGCCCAGTGAAGGGGTACAATGGCTCTATTTTGTGGGGGCTTCTATTTAAGCCCCATGGCCTGCTCAAGCTCACTCTCTTGGCCATTTGCATTGACATAGCAACCTTGTGAGCTTAGCCAAAGCCCTCCCACTCATCTCCATCATTGATTCATCATCTTTGTGAGATTGGGAGATAATCCAAGTACATTGCTTGAGTGTTTACATCTAGAGGCACTTGGTGTTCGTGTTTCGCTGCGGAATTCGCTTGTTACTCTTGGTGGTTGCCGCCACTTAGACGGCTTGGAGCAGCGAGGATCGTCGAGCGGAGGCGGGTGATTGTCTCCGGCTCTAATCGTGGTGATTGTGAGGGGTTCTTGACCTTTCTTCGGCGGAGCGCCAAAAGGTACTCTAGTGGATTGCTCGTGGCTTGTGTGATCCTCATCTTATGTTGGTTGTACGGCACCCTATTGAGGGTTTGGCGTGTGATGCTAATTAGCTCGTGAACCTCCAAGTGAGTGAATCGCCACAACGAGGAGTAGCTTGTCGGCAACTGCGACAGTGCACGGACAAGCTCTCCTCGGCCGCCGCGTTCTTGATGAGGAAGAAAGTGTCCGAGTCACTTACGGCTTGGCCCCATCGGATGGAGAGAAAGAAGTCGGAGGATAAGGTTGTGAGAGAAGGGTATTTTAGACTTTATGACCGTTTGGGCCCACATGTTAGGGCTGCCAAACGATGAAAACCAGACGGAAGATGGACGGAATGGCGTGGATGACAAAAAAAAGTAATGTGTCATGAGTCATGACATTTTGGTGCGTTTAAACTTTTCAGTGGACTGTATGCCTACGTAATGGCACTCAAGTAAAAAGCTCTTACAGCCTGTTCGGTTGGCTGATTTATATCGTTGCTGGTTCGTGAAAAAGTACTGCTGGCTGGTTTGTGTGAGAGAAAAATACTGCTCCGACTGGAAATTTACGATCGTATACCATCGTTTTCCTCCAGCCGAACAGGCTGTTAGTTGTTGGGCTCGACCAAACTCCGGATGGCTCACCTGTCACCCTCCTCGTGTTCGGCGGGGGTTGGTGGACGTGCGGGCGTGTGGAACGGTAGAGACCCCTTGCCTCCTACTCGTACGCAGGGGTGATGCTACATGATTTCTATGACATGTGGGCACGTCCGCCTCTATTGGTTGGTTTGGTGGGTGCATTCTGCGTTGGGTGTACAACACAGAGTTAGGGGACGATGCGTGGGTCCTTTTCGCCCACCAACCACATCGACACACAGAACTTGAGATCAGTCCTACCGCCCCGCTCGTCGCCCGCCATGCTCAGCTCCTCTCCGGTTTCGTTCTAAATCCGAACCGACAAAAAAATATCAAACTAAATCAAATGAAATCGAAAAAAATACAAGTCAAATACGCAGGGTATCATCGTACCGCCCCGCCCAGCTCGCCCCGAATTTTATGCCTCGCTCCTCCAAATCAGAATCGGATATCAAATCAAATGAAATCGTTCCAAATCTGAATCGAAAAAAGAAAATATCAAACCAAATCAGAAAAAAATACAAGTCGGTGGCGGTGCTTGGCGGTGCCGAGGAGGCTGAGGTCTCCGCTCGATGCAGACAACGGCCTGTTGTTGCAGCTGAACTCGAACTCGACCTCGCGCCGCCTACGCGAGGGCTCTTGGATCACTAAGCTTGGGTCTAGTGTCGCCGTAAAAATAATTAAGAGCACGTTCAATAACAGTCTGATTTTACTGCCTTGCCAACCATATGCACACAAAAAGATGAGAGAGAAAGCTATGCTTCTGCTAGTTTCGTCGATCAGCTCGTCACACATGCCAAGACGCATTCTCTGTGCAGAGGTTAACTCTTCCTTCCTATTCTTGCATATTGAATAAAAAATAATATTTAGACTATAGAAATGGACTAACCGTTGTAAATAGGCTCTAAACTTGTCTATTGATGACTTGGCTTGCCTTATACACAAGTTTTTATTGGGCTTGTTCTAAAACCTGCTCTTGCACATGACCTAATCCGGTCCCAAATCCGAGACCTGTGAGGCAAAAAAAAAAACACCCCTACAGGACTGAGGGAACCTGTGCAGTACTTAACATATAATTGCGCCTTGTCGTTATTAATGTGAAGTGGAACTATTCGGTATGTTTGGATGAAGGTAGAGACAGCTTCATATTTTCTATATAACTATATTTATAGATTTCTTAGTATGTTTACATAAGCCATAGCTCTCGAGTAGTTTGTACGTAAAAATTCGTGATTCTCGTGCAGCACGGCATGTATCTAAGACACTGAAAAGGGATGAAAAGGCTCACAGCTTTGCGGCCCAATCACAAAACTTGGGCCACACGAGAACAGTCGGGATATTGATTCCTTGGGCCTAATCGGCAGGTAGTTAACATGATCCTACCCACATCGTGTGGACCACGAACTAGCCCCAATGGTCCAACAAAATAGTAGCATGATCTAATTTTGATCACTTGGTCAGTGCGCAAGCTGCTATGGATTGTTTTTTTCTTCACGACCGTACCTAAAACTCTAACTCTTACCTGCACCCATGAAGCTATACAGGCGAAACTTTGGGCGTGTTTGGTTTGTGCCCTGTATGGATGAAAACGGGACAGGAAATTCCCGTACTGACCGACACCGTATACCGCATTAACCGATCGCATACCGTTTTTGCAGGAAAAATAGGAAACGGGAAACCGACACCGTATTTTAGGCAGGAACGGGAACGGAATCAGTTAAGGGATTTTCCCGACTGTATTCACGGTTCTCATATTTGGGTAGGAAAATTCCCGATGATATTCCGTATTCCCGCGTGCCGATGCCCACTGAATGTATGAATCATTGATTGATGCATTGACCCTTTCACTCTCGTCTGTGGCGGCGCTAGCGCTACCCCCGTCCGTTCCAAAAAGGCAAAAACGGCGGCCAACCCTTGAACCCTATCCGCCCGTCACCCGTCCCGTGCGGCGCCGCCTACCCGCCTCCGCCTCTCTGCGACTCTGCGCCGTCGCCCCCAGCCGCCCGGACTCCCACAGGGCGCAGACTCCAGAGTCCCAGGTTCTCCCGCAGGCTGCACGCCTGCACCGCTGCAGATCCCTAGAGCCGGCGCCATCCAGAGTTCTGCAGGCGCCAGGCGCGCGCCAGGCAGCCTCCTTCGGCCCCTGCCGGCCACCGCCGCCAGTCGGCCTGACCTCCGGCGGACCAATGATGCCGCCGACTGGGGGTCCTGCCGCCTCTGCTGCTGGCTCATCAGGATCCAAGCGACGACTCATCCTGGAGCCGCCGCTACCCATGGTGGTGCATAGCACCACGCTTCCTACTCCAACTCCAACCTCAGGTAGTTGTACTGCTAAATTATCCTGTATTATTCATGAAAGTGTCTGCTTATTTGTATTGCTAAATTATCATGTTCCATTATGCATTTGTGATGCGTAATGCATGTGTAGGAGTAGGATTATTCCTTGGATTGTTCTGAGAATATTTGATTCTTATATCTTGGTGTAGTGAGTTGTATTAGCCTATTAGGTTAGTCTGCTCCGGGTTTTGGCCTCGCTGTCAGGTTCCCCTGCTTCTGCTTGGGATGCATTTGCTTGTGGCTACTGCTGAACTGGTGATTTCAACATTATTTTCTTTCAGCTTGTCTGGCTCTGCTTGTTTGCATTTCCTTTGTTAGTAGCACAGAGTTTTGACTTCATATATTGAACTGTTGCCTGTTGGCTGTTCACATGCACTATTTTTTTTAATTTGAACTGTTGCCTGTTGGCTTACTGTGAATTGTGAACTATTTTTTTTTTGCCTGCTAGCTTGCTGTTGCATATGGTTGCTATTGTTGCATCGAGCTTATTGTTTTAAGTGGCTACACATATTGATGTTCCCGTTTTGTGTTACCGCTTCCCGATCGTAGTCGAGACGTTCCCGTTTGAAATATTCCGTTCCCGATATCCCGTAATACCGGTTTCGTTTTCCCGTCCGGCCTTCCCGTTCCCGGCAAAAAAATACAGAAGCGGAAATGGTTAAGACATTTTCCCGACCGTTTTCATCCTAGTGCCCTGGTAGGCAGGGCCTAGCTAGTCAGATGGGCCTGATGGGCCTAGCCTGCCTGGGAACGTCGCCTCGCCTAGGCAGTTCAACCCAGGAGACAACCAATTGGGCCATCTGTGCATGTTGTGTGCCCACACCTGTCGAACGTATGTCGGGTATCAAGTACACATCACGTATACTCAAACATCATATATAATACATCACAGTGATCACAATAATAAGTTTAAGTTGAATTTGGCCCACATATTTTCATCTTAGCAACAAGTAGAGAGTTGTTACCCTGTTAGCTTAGTCATTACTGACCATCACAAGATTGATGAAAAGATCAAATTTAGAAGATTCTTCTTTGCATTGAAACCTTGCAAAGAGGGGTGTAACACCCTAGGTGTTAATCATGCCATTTGCATAATCATCATCTTTGATTAAGCATCATGTGTATTTCTTATTTGTTTGATCACATGAATGATAGACTTTAACTCTTTAAGTCTTGTTTTGAGTGTTGTTAACAACCTGCTCGCATATGTTGTGTGTATGACTTTGCTAGAGTGTTTAAACAACTATAATTTAAGTAATAAACAACTTTTGTTAAAGTTTCTTATACATGTTAAAGGAAAAGTTTGTTTTGTGCTAAGAATGTGAAGCTTTCAATTATTGCTTGATAGCTTATTTGGGAGTTAATTAAATCAAGTTTTATTAAAACACTTCTAATTCCCCGAATATGAAAAGTATAGTATAATTCATGAACTTCAACATAGCACAATGTTTGTACATTAATTTAGGTAAAAACAATTTATTTATTTTGAAGTTTCAAAACCCAACAAAATTCTGAAGATCCTTTTTAACCTTTGCTTTTGAAGTCTGGTTTGTGGACACTGCTATGTTGGCAAGCCATTCTTGGGGCATCCACAATAGTGCCAGCTATGTAGTTAGGTTACGTGGAGGTGAGAGACAAAAAGCAAAGACTATTTTATACATTCTTTTTTTTCTATGTACTATTGAATCCACATTTTCCTCTCTCAGATTCTTAGAGTACGTGAAATAGATCAACTATTTATTCGTCGTTAGTGACTACTCTCTCCTACTTTTTTCCTGTCCACGTCAGAATACCTAGCTAAATAGCTAGCTGTTGGGGATGCCCTTATTGCCAAGCTATCGATCTTTGTGCCAATACAAAAGTAGTAGATTGAACTATAGACTATAGATGGCCATCGGCCCGGCAGGGCTCGTGCCAGGCACAACCCGATGGGGTTGGGCCGGCACGGCACGTCGTGCCTCCCGGGCCGTGCCAAATAGGGCTTCGTGCCTTACCAATGGCCCAAGCATGGCCTGTCGGGCTATTTTTCGGGCCGGCCCGACTCGAGAAGCACAGCCAATCCATCGTGCCGTGCCTGCCCGAGGCCCATGAGGGAGCGCCGCCGTCGGAGGATGCCGAGGTCGCGGCCGTAGCGACGGAGTCGGAGAGGGAGCCTCCGCGCGGTGCCTCCAGGCGTGACCTCCACGCGCTTTGCTCCCACGCGCTCGTCGTCAGATCCGCACGGCCGGAGGCACTCGATGCCGGATCTCCATGGCCGGTGGGCTGATGGAGTGGAGGAGGCGTGCTGGAGGCGAACCAGAGAGATGCATCGGGAGGAAGAGAAGCAAGTGACCGGGGGAAGAGAAGGGCGCGTCCGCGTGTGTCGAGGCGGAGTCGCGCTCGCGCGTGTGCAGTGTCGGACGGGCGATTGCGACGGCTACGTCTAGGATGGAAGAAGTTAGGGTTATGGAGGATAAGAATCTGTATGTATATATATTTGATTGGGGTAGTGGGCCTTTAAGGGGCCTGTGGCATTTTTCGGGCCGTGCCGTGCCGCTCATCGTGCCTCGCGCCACACGCCCACACGCCACCATTCTGCTGTCCTCGCTTCCTTCTCCACGAAGCCAACCGAGCTCACAGCCTTCGGTCTCACTGTGCGGCAGTGCACGACACAAGCGTCCATGCCGGTAGCTGACTTGTCACTTGTGCAGTTAAATCAATCGCAAAATTTTATATTAAGGCCTGGTTTGGCTAAAAATTTTCACCCTAAATTCCAAATACTGAAAAATCTTGCTGCAGCAGCCCTGAACCCTGAAAACAGGCTGACGAAGACCTGGGCCATCCGGGTTTCTTGGGCACGCTCGCCCTGCGCCCGCTCGCGAGCTGCCACGCGGCACGGTCGCGCTGCGCTTGGCCTCGCCGGACCCGGACTGGGCAGCAGCGCCCTGCGAGTGCCCGACGTCTCGCTCGCGTACCATGGCCTGCCTGCCTCGCGCCACACGCCCACACGCCACCATTCTGCTGTCCTCGCTTCCTTCTCCACGAAGCCAACCGAGCCCACAGCCTTCGGTCTCACTGTGCGGCAGTGCACGACACAAGCGTCCATGCCGGTTAGCTTTTTGTCAATCAATCGCAAAATTTTGTCGTAAGCGCAGTGCGCTTCGGACCCTGGCACTGGAATCGCTCCGCCGTGTGATGAATTAAACGCGTGTTTAGTTGAAGTCCAAAATTTAAAAAAAAACTAATTACACTACATTTTTGATTGGAAATCGCGGATCGAATGTTTTAAGGCGTATTAGTGGGATATTAAATGTTCTGATGAAAAAAAAAAAACTAATTATGGACGGATAATTTGATGAATAAATTACGTCGCGCGATTCTGACGTTTTGTAATTAGCTTTTTAGTTCGTGTTTGGACTTTCAAGCATTCCAAATAAAAATAAAAATCTTTCACGATGCTAACACAAAATTCCAAATTCGTGTCGTGCGCAGTGCGCTTCGGACCCTGGCACTGGAATCGCTCCGCCGTGTGATGAATTAAAATATATACAGTAGGATGATCGGTCACGTCAAGGTGAAGTTCCCGAACTGCCCATCGAGAGTTTGGGTTGGGATCTCTCGCGTTTCCGGTTCCGAACCCGCCGCCCCCAGTACTCCTCCCCTACTCCCCACCCCTGCTGCGGTTCCTCCTGCTAAAGCAGCCGCCGCTCGCTCCGCGTCGTCTCCGTCCAAAACCCTCGTTCGATCCCGGTTCTCTGGCCGCACGGCACGGGAGCTCCCTCTTCGGCGGCGACGCCGATTCGGTGTCACCCGGGTGCGGCGACGCTCCACTTGTAGGTGAGCTGGCGAGCTTCTAATCTTTCCCTGCATGAATGCGGTTATTTCTTTTTATATATGTTATAAAGTAAGTTGCTTCTCGTTCTAGTAGTGGAGGAGCGGCTTAGGGGGACTAGCGTTTGAGGTACTAAAATCTCGAACCATCGGTGCCGCAGCCATGGTTTTTAGCGGCGGAGTTTTTGCCTAGCAAGCCGTTTGGATGAGTTTTATGTGGTACGTGTAGGCATCTGGGAGTTTTGGTGCGTGTGTTTTATTTGGTATGGTTCAGCCGTTAGCTGGGTGTAAATGAAAAGATACTGGTTTTTTGAAATCCGGAGAATTTACTGGACCGCGCTTTCAATTTTCAATTCAATTGTTGTGATCGCGAGCTCCTTGATTTTAGTGGGAGTTTCAATTTTTGTCGGATTACTTTTAAGTAGTGAACTATCAAAGGCTGACCTTGGTTTATCAGTGATTGTACCATGGCTGATAATCCAATAAAGTTCTCACACAAGAAATTGCTTAATGCCACTGACACAATTCTACATACAGAGCACAATGCAAAATTTTCATTGCTTCTTGATTGGATTTATGCATTGCTCCAATCTATCTCTTTCAACTCCCCTCCACCTTGGCACTAGTCCTATTTAAAATATTTATCATGTAATAGATGCTATGTGCATTGTTGACCAGGACCCAACTGCATTAGAGGGCATGAAGGTGCTGATCGCGTTCACTTTCTTCTCACATTAAATGCTATTCAACAATTTTGACCCTGTACACCACCAGTTCACATGACTTGCTTGATCTTGTCAGGTGCTTAGATTCCCTGTATAGACTTTGATGTAGTACTTGGCATCCTCATGTTCCAAAGTTTCAAAATGGTCTTACAGTCAATGGGCTCATTTTATAGTCTAAAAATGGCTTCTGTTTTGTGTTTTCTTATGTGGTCCCTGTGCTGCAAATGTTGTTTTTTGCGCATCCATGCCTTTCCTGTGCATCAAATCCTCTTTCATTCATCCATGCTGTCACACTCTTCATGTTAACAAAATAACTAAATTACATGGTAGATATCAACCATTTCATGCCACACTTCATGGATATATGATTCTTAGTTATGTAATGTTAACTCCATGGCAATAAGCAATTAAGCACACTACGAGCATACTTTAGAACCAGATACATTTATTCTTGCTACCGGATCTGCATTTTTTCCCATTTCGGTTTCCAAGTATCTCATTTTCTGCATCTCATATTCTTTTCATGAACTCCTAGATACTCCCTCTGTCCCTGATAAATCAATTTCCAGAGTTGTCTTAAGTCAATCTTTTCTATGTTTGACCGAATTTATATAGAAGAAATATAAATATTTGTGACGCCAAATGATCACATTATGAAAATATAGTTTATGGTGTATCTAATGATACTAATTTGATGCCATAAATCTTAGTGCTCTTTTCTATAAATTCGGTCAAACTTAAAAAAGTTTGATTTAAGACAACTTTATTCAGGGGCAGAGGGAGGTTCTGGTGAAAAGTTACTGCTAAAAATTTTGATAGTATTACAATTGTTGATTAAAACTCGACCTGCAGGGGGTTATGATGGCCCCCGAGTTTTCCTTTTAAGAAGAAGATCTTCTCACACAGATCGAGAAAACCCCCAAACCCCTGCCCCCATCCTGACGCAGCGGTATCCATTGCCCTGTGAGAACCGGGCCAGGCCATAACTACGCTTTGGCACATGGGGACGGGTGAGGGGATTTTTTTAACCTCAGCCTGAAATTCGCTCCCACGGGGAGTCGAACTCAGGACCTGAGGAGTGCCGCTGGGTCACCTAACCGTTTGAGCTAGGCGCCCTTTGGCTACAATTGTTGATTAAGGTGCCATAGTTATGTTTTTGGTGTTTGAAGTACAGAAATGTATTTGTGTTTTGTCATCTTCTTGTTATTCACCTTTGTTTGGCGTTGTTAGAAGGGTATGCCAATTTTATGTTTTTATTAATTTGTATCACTGAATTTACTCTCCCCGGACAGGGAATTGTGAAAGAGCACACAATATTTTTCTTCTTTACATCGGTTGAGGTGGTTTGACCATGTCCAAAGGAGACCTCCAGAGGCACCAGTGCACTGTGGAGTCCTAAGCTAAGCTAATAATATGAGAGGTAGAGGAAGACCGAAATTGACGTGAGGGGGGGGCAATAAAAAGAGATTTGAAAGCTTGGGATATACCTAGAGATCTATGTTTGAATAGGAGTACTTGGAAAACAACTATTGAAGTGCCTGAACCGTGACTTGGGGCTCTTGGTGGGTTTCAAATCTAGCCTACCCCAACTTGCTTGGGACTGAAATGCTATGTTGTTGTTGTTGTTGTTGTTGTTGTTGTGGTTTATAATGTGCCTTCCTACCATTGACATCTGTGCTCTTTGCATTTCTTTCTGTCTAGGAGAAATATTGGCCAGTTTACCAGTGCTTATACTTTGAAGTGAGGTGCATACCAAAACAGAGTGAACCAAACTGGCAGGGAAATCTTGTTCACAGCAACAGCATAGCTTCCCTATTCCGCTACCTTCTAGTTTGGCTGAGAATTTATATGGGTAACAATGAAACCTGCAAGAAATCACATGAAAGTGAGAAACTTGATATAGGCAGGAGAGAAGAAGAAGATAAAGCATCATACAGCCCTGAACTAGAAGAAGGTGAGTTTAGGAAGGATGAGCCATTTGGATTAGAAAACCTTATCCACAAGGGTATGGTTGTAAGTGTTCAAAAGTTGTGTTCATCCACCAAGGGGAGGGTCAGTACATGGCAATCAACTTCACCTGAAAGAGGTTCCCATCAAGGAGACACTTCAATGAAGAGTCAACTTGTTAATGTGATTCAATCAACTTGTCATAGAATATATTCTGAGAAACACAGCCAGAGCTATTCTCCATCTTCCCCTATTAGGTCAAAAGAAAGGCATGAGAAACGGATGAGCAACTGCTTTAGTTACCATGATTATCATCAAGTACTGAAAAAGATCGAGAAAGTTTGTTCAGAAAGGCTTGATAACCAATTGTTACATCAGAGTAAAGACCGCAAGGAATTCAATACTTTAATAAAGGAAGAGGAGTGGAAATTCTTCAAAAAACATGCTTGCTCTTATAGAGTTCACTATGAGCGTGTCATACCAACAACAAGCTATCACAGGATGAAGCTACCAAAGCTATTTTTCAGCATTTTGCTTAAGGTTTTCCGTAAATATATGCGGTCTCAGCTTATAAAATTTGTGAGAAGACAAATAAATGATAGGAACAAAGAGAAGAGAATAAGAGAACGCTGGATATTTGAGGCTACAGCTGGCTACCTTAAGAAAACGTTTGATGGAACTTCCATGACATGTTCTGGATTCGAGATGAAGAAATCAGAGTGTCATGTGCATGCTTATTCTGAAGACGAACAAGAGCTCAAATTTTTGGACATGCAATCTCTAACTACTGAAATTGAAGCAATTGCTTCTAGTAAAGAACTTGAAGAAACCGGTACAGATAAGGACAGTGATATTTTTCAGCCAGAGCCAATTATAGAAAACTTACAATCACCAATAGAGACAAATGGAGGTGCAGAGGATGGTTTATCTGTTGATGCAACTGAAGCCTTAGTAGATAGTATGTCTTCACATTCCAATAATGCACCCACTGAGTTCAGTGAAAAAGTTGGGATGCAAATTGCTGTCTCCTCACCACCACAAAATGAGGGGGGAAATGTGGAGAGATCCTGTTCTCTGTTTGTCACTGATAAAACATTGGTACTTTCTAAGGCAGTGGCAGCTGATTTAGGAAATGAGCCTCCACTTAGAAAGAAGCAAAGGTGCATGAATCCTGACGATGATGCATTAGAAGGCTCTTGTTCTGGGTCCCAGAGAAATTTGCCACATGAGTCTGACTCTAATATTCATGAAACAGCATTGCACGATGAGGTATTTAGCTCATACTCATTTTTTTCATTACTGTATAATAATTAAATTTATTGTGGTCTGGAAGAAATTATCATTAACATGGACAATGGGTGGCAAGAACTTTACCTTTTCTTTTGCGCAAAAACACTGTTTTCGTTATATAGCTTGATTGAGAAGTCATGTTTCGATCATAGCATGATTTGCAGGTGACAAATCATTCTGATGAATTGAAGCTGAACCATCAGACAAGATCTCAATGTTATCATGTTTTTTTGGTTTTCAAATGTTATTTCAGTGAAGGCACAAATTATCAGTAGGATCTGACTGTGACAGTCATTCTTGGAACTGAACTTATTCCAGCTTAATACCAATGGAAGATCATAATCTAACATCCTTTGACATAATTTCTTTACAGGAGGAACCTCAAGCTGAAAGGCTGCCTTCAGCTAATGTGAATCAAATGGAACAGGCTGATGTTGCAGCTAATAAGGAAGTATCTAATGGTGCAATATCTTCCTTTGGCCAAGTCACTGAACAGCATAACATCACTGCAACTTCAGCAACATTAGTCCAACCGTCAACACAACTGCAACTTTATGATCTAACTTGTCAAAATGTTGCTCATCCGTGTCAAGAATCTGGTGTGAATACTTGTTCAGTAAGCACTGGATTAGACAACCATGGGACATTAAATATTCAGCAGCAATCAGCCAACCAGACAAGCTCCATGGTTGAGCATATGCCTGAAAATGGACTCCAGTCAGATCCAGTTACCAATGGGTGTAGACAATTGCTTATGTCTAGTAATCACACCTCTCCACCTGTTCGAGTTACCGAGCAGCAAATTGCCACCTCTCCACCTGTCCAAGTTACCGAGCAGCAAAATGCCTCTAATTCATCCTTATTAACTCCACATGTAAGACAACAATATGGTCCCCAGACTTGTCAAACTGTTGCTCATCAGGATCAACCAGTTGGCAGGAATAGTTTTCCAGCACAAGCTTGGTTAGACAGCCCTAGATCATCAAATGTTCAGCAGCAGTCAAACAACCAGACAACAACAGGCTCCACTTCTGGACAATATATGCTTGAAAGTGGTACTCAATCAGATCCATTAGCAATTGAAATGAGTCGGCTGCTTCTGATGCATGATCTGATGACCAAGAAACATATATCTAAGGTTACTTTCTTAAACCCCTCTACTGTTGTCTGATTTCCCTATGCTCTTCAAATTCTAAATGGCACAGTGACATTGGAAGCCTTGTGGTGCTATTATCTAATCAACATCTCTACTTGGATTTTGTCAGAGGCAAAAAATTATCTTGGAGTGTGAAAAGGAGCTGGCTGAATGCAAAAGGAAGTTTGACGAGAAGTTCCATAATTTAGAGATGGAAACACTGCAGAAAAAGGAGGATATTGCGATCCTCGAGGACAAAATATCTAAGCAACAGATGTTAGGGAAGACATTCCAGGTTCTACACAAGGCCTCTGCTGGAGTTGCTTCGGGCAGTCAGAGAGGTACACATTACTTGCGATCATAGCTCTTTAATGTAATAAAAATATCTTGCACACTACTATTTTACATGAATTGTGGCTTTAATCTGCTGTCAAAGTGCCATCCTTCAGAGATTGGCATAAGCTTGTCGTTTGCCCCATCCACCCAAATAACATATATAATTATCTTTTTATTAACTACAAGTCTTGTAGTCACCTGATTTTATTGAGGAATAAGATCAAGTGTATTGTTCACTAAGATCTATTGATAGTCAATAATGATGAATCCTTGCAAAGTAGAGGAAGCGTACATGTTGTTAGGGTATACAATTGGTTTGGTGGTAACCCTGCATTTTGGTGGAATAATCAAAGCTGGGCATTGCTAACATGTTTTGGTGGAGTTGGAGAATCAAACACCTTTTTGCAGAGTAACATGTATTCACAACACAAGATTAGCCTAAAATATCTCCAGAAGATTTCTAGGAAATGTTTTATGGAAAAACTAAAACAAGTAGTAAGCCTTTGAAGAACTGTTACTCTGTAACTTGAGCTTATGCATATTAACTTATTAAGGATTTGAAACTTTTCTTCAAGGATCCAATATTCGCTTCTCTGGTTGGTGCTGCGGCACCATCAAAGGCGTTGCAAGGGATTCTCACAAGACCTCAATAGTCTGATCATCTTAGTTGCTTGGGAATTATGGAAGCACCAAAATGCTTGTGTTTTTGAAGGTGCTAGGCCTAGCATACAGGTGTTGCTTCAATCTGTGTAATCTAGGGTGTATGGCAGGAACCTCGCCCTTACATGAGTTCCTTGCTAGGTTGTTGGTTCTGGATCCCTAGGTCCTTGGTTGTTTGAGGCTGCTGGTCATGTTTCCCTAGTTTATTTTCTAGAATGTCGTATTGACTAAACCTCGTGGGGGTGTCTGGGAGGGGGTTTCTTACTTCCCTCCCTTTTGTATCTTTTATTCTTCATAATGAAATGACATGCAGCTCTCCTGCATAGATCGCGAAAAAAAAACTGTTCTTGCTTATGAACTAGAGGAAATCCACAATTTGTGCCAATTAAATTTTTGTTCTACAGTATGACACTTGGGCGAAGCTGAAGATAAAATATCTGAATTTATTCAGTGGCATATAAAAATTTCCATAAACCACATGTCTTGTGCTTAGCTGGCTTATTGGAGGAATGGAACTCTATACGCTCTTACGACCCTCCATACAACTATTTTTTTATCAAATCAAAAGAATAGGTGGGAAAATTTTGCACCTTTTCCTTTTGACATACGTGATTCTTCCAGAAACTGTTTGACATTTCATCTTGATGCGGCAAAGAAGTCTCACTTTATAGTCACTCCTTGTGGCACTAGCAAAGTCAACACTGGAATCCCACATCAAGCCAAAGGGTGTAGTTGTCATTCTGGTTGTTTTTTGTATAGACTATTTTTTATGTAGTTAGAAACTTTTCTTTGGAGTTAGTATTGCATAATGTTTTGACTCTTGATTGAAATAGTTTTGTTAATGAATTAGACTCCTTGCATAGCAAAAACATCGTCAAATCGCATCTTCTTTTCACTGATTCACTTGCATCTTATGATAGTATCATGTACCTTGTCCTAGTCTGGAAGTGCTGTGTTCTCATCAGTCATTTTTGGTTGGTTTGAATAACAGATCAATTTTGTTCATACCTGTGTTATATATATAAAAAGAAGTTAATACCTATTGATGTGTTCTCACTTTGTATCAGGTGCTCCCAGGAGAACTACGACAGAGGCAAATCAACAATCATGGCAGCATGGTTTGCGGTTTCCTGCATCAGCAACCATGTACGAGTCACCACAACCTGCTGCGCAACCATCCACAAACAACTTCCTTAGACAGCCTTTTATGACCACCCCACAGGCTGTAACTAACACTTTGGGCGGATCCGCCACTAACTTAACGCATGCTCCAAGTGGTGTCATGGGCACTGGAATTCCATACCAAACGCATGCTCCAAGTGGTGTCATGGGCACTGGAATTCCATACCATGCACTTCCGCTTCCGCTGGATCTCCAAGCCTTTGTAAATCAGATGCCACCTTCCCGTGCTGCTGGTGCAAGATACAATAGGCAGCTGCAGCTATGATTGCTCTTATGAGCACATACATCGTCCATGCAACCTGACTTCAGCTGACTTAGAAGCCATCAGTAATGTCTCCTCCAGGACCTTGACCAGAGGGCAAAGTTGTTCGCTTTGTGCGCTGCTCACCAGATTGACATCTCTAGGTTAAAACTCAAAACATGCATTCTGAACTAGTGTCTGCCTTATGTGAGTTCAGCTGTACTGAGAAGTCAACTGTGCTTTTGAACCTTTGTTTAGTGGGGGCACACGTTGGTTCAGTGCTTTGTTTCTCACTAGTTATTGCCTGATCAATACCAGACTGCCAGTGCTTCACATGAGAAGTTCATTCCAGAAACTCACGTTCTGTACAAACTCTGAACAAACAGCCCTTACCCCAGGGAAGCAGGAATCCGGAGACGTCGTGAAACCCGTCTCCTTTTGCCAATTGCCGTGCCGTGCCGTCCTTTTCCGTCGACCGTCGTCCCAGAGCCAAGTTACTCGTCCACTTCGGATCCGGGTCCTAGACTGGATGCACGTCGCGTCTTGCAGACAAAACATTGTTTATCGACCCCTCAAAAAGAAAAAAAGCTTTGTTTATAGGTCAGTTCGTGAAACAAAAAGAGCTTATTTATGGGCCGGAACGGGCCGTTGCAGAAATATCCTTTCCGCGGTTTGGTGGTTTGGTTGGCCCTGGCGGTTTGGTGGCTTGGTTGGCCCTTGGGCCTTGGCCGTGGCCTTTGCAGAAATATCCTTTCCTCGTCGCAGTTGTAGAAATATCCGTTTCTCGTCGCCGTGGCCTTTGCAGAAATATCCGTTCCTCGGTTGGGCCTTGGCCGTTGCTGCTGCTGCATTTTGTACTGTTTAAACAGTAACCTGTGTCACATGTCAAAGAAGCAGCAGTGGCTCGGGCTGCCAATAATGGCTCCCGGTCGGGTACATTTCGTTGATGCTGCCGGCGCCGGCCGCCGGGCACGGCCACGGGCGGAGGCCAGTTCTCGTCTGCCAATGTCTGTCACGATCACGAGTCCACGACAGGAGCGGGATGGCGACAAGGCGTACGTGATACGTCGTCGTCGTCGTCGTCCAAGGTAACCGAGCTCACAAAGCGCTCCAACACGCGCACGTTGGCGCTGGCGCGCCGGCCGGTCGTCATCCGCCATCCCTGGGAGTGGCCCAGCGCCTCCATTAATGGCCGCGCGCCGCAATGCATCGCCGCCACTACCCGAGTCCGAGCCACTCCAGTGCTCCACTCCACCGCTGCAACGTGCAGCGAGCAGCTCAGTGGGTAGGTAAGGGAGGAGGTAGTTGCCTGAGCTCAGCTGTGCGCCCGAGCACGAGCAGGGTCTCCTCCCGTCCCCAGACCTCAACTAACCCCAGGTATTCAAGGTAGCTTTCGAGAGGTGATGGATGATGCGGACCCGCGCGTGGAAGAATCTGTGCTGTATTCTTTGGTTATGCATCGCAGCAGGCAGCCGATGGCGATTGGGTTTGGTGGCCGTCGATCGACGCAATAAAACACCGGGGACACTGTATCATGCATCATCACTGCCGGTGCCAGGAACCAACTAGGGCAGCAGCGAGCGGCAGGGGCGAAAACACTCGTTATTATGCCTACAGGCTATACGCCGTCCACTGCGACGCTTCTTCAATTCAAAGCACCAGTCATCTTTAGGTGCTGATGATGAATGAGCTCACATGTTCACGACCGATCAGATCCGTTGCTTAATCAGGAGGCTAGCTAGGCGACCTGGCAACTTTCCTTTGCCATGGCATCACGGACGTAACGTACACGTGTTAATCTCCCGGGCCAGCGTTTCTCGAGTTCCTCCAAACGCGTGTAGAAACTTTCCGACGGTAAAGTCGTAGTCCAGTATCTTTGTAGCTAGCTCCTCTGTATGTAGCCCAATTACTGCATGCGTTTTTTTTCCAGATCATCACTACTTTCTACTTACAATCATTTCTCACTGTTTGCAGATCGCTGTCAGAGCCATCGCACCGCAAAGGGTCGAGGAGGTCCCTGAATTCTGTTGCTCGCAGTGGCGGATGCACGATGCGGGATAAGGGGGGCTAAAACAATGGAGATGTTGATTTGCATGAAGATTTAATGGTGAAATCAAGCTTTTGCTACAGTGATTATGCTTGAAATCAAGACATTAGGGGGGCTGGAGCCCCCCCTTTGGATCCGCCAGCTCGGTCTGTTCATCGTCATCAATTGCCTTGCCGTGCCGGCCTTCATGAGTCTAGCCGGCTATATCAGAAAGCGATGCGCAGGCTGTCAATTGCTTTACACCAACCGTACTCCAGCTACTCCATTTTCCCCTTTTATTCAACCAGTAGCTGTCAATTCCTTTGCACCAGATAGCAACCAAGAAATAAAGTGAAGAAAATTGAGATCCGACCATGTATATATTTTACACCAGATAGCAGCCAATGAATAGTTTAGTAGGGTTCAAAAGGCTAGATTAAGGGTACGTTCTTGGTCAAACTGCCTTGCTCAAAACTCTAAACGACAAAGTTGAAGTGAGCTGAAATTTTTATAGGGTCTGTTCTTTTTTTTTTGGATTGAACAGGAGGGGTGTAAGCCCCTACTGAAATTTATTGAGAAATAAATCCAAGAGGTACAAAAGTTCAGGAAACAAAAAAGGTACAGAAGAAGATAAACAAAATTACACAAAGGCTTCTAGCCATTGAACAATCAAAGGAATATACTTGGCTTTTGCTCGTAGGTCTGTTCAAAGCACACTGGGTCAACACTTCCTGTTAAAATGTTCTTGTGACCTTATCTGAACTCTCGGTGGGAAGGCAAGGGAGCATGGACGCACGCACGCCTCGACATCATGGTTGGGACTTGGGACGAACAATGTGTAGGCTTGCTACTGCTCTGTCTGTCGCAGGGGACTAGTAGTTGGAACTAACTTTCAGCAACAGTTCAATAATAGCAATCTGATCCAACTTTAGGTCAACTAGACATCCCCTTCTCACCACCCCTTACACTAGCGTTAGTTCTTGTTTCGTAGATGAAAGGGACACATGCCTGACTTATCGGCTCTGCTCATCATCCAAGCAGCTGTTACCACTGTGATTTACAGAGATGGGATTTACAGGATCTATGTGGTTCGTCATGACCATAACAGGAAGCAAGAAGTCAGCTGTCCTTCTCTGCTTAATGGTGTCCATTGTATTGGGGATTATCATACTGCCTTGCGGCGAGATTAAGGCATAATGATGCATGTTACCAACACGATCCGTGGTTAGTTGCATATGGCAGCTAATTAAGGACACATGCATGGTGTACCTAACAGTTGAACATATTAATATTTCTTTCTGCCCCTACCAATAAAATAATTTTTGAGCCACTGAACTTAATTTCATCGACATGTTGACATCCTTTCTTCCTCTCATGAAAAGAAATGAGAGTACATTATACACACAAGGTTGGTAGTGCTATACCACTTGTTTGCCGTCTCACAACAAGCAATACTGAACTGGCAGTTTGCTAGTCAAAACATAAACATAAGCACACGTACATTTTTTATACAATCCATAATTTTTTTGGCCTTGTTCGCTTGAACTTATCAGTCTGGCTTATCAGTACAATATTTTTCTCTTACAACAAATCAGCGAATAATACTTTTCAGTCTGACTTTTCAACAATCTTTGCCATAAGGAAAAGATTATTCAAAATTCTCTTCAATTAAATGGAAATTTATTGACTTTGGCACCACATGGTCAGAAAATCCTGCATATGGATGCACGGCACAACTGCACATGCTTCTCTTTAGTCTCAGAGAAAAGTCGAAAAGAACATGCACATGCTTCTCTTCAGCCTGCACCTTTTGTTCTTCAGTTTCAAGAACACAAACTGGGTGTCGCCTTACCGCCGAGCACCAAACCATTATTAGCTCCCCCGGAAGTGCACGGCTTCTCTGCACGTTCCATCAACCAGCGACTCTCACGTATATGATGAATCCGGCACATGCCTGGACTTCGACAAGCCGATTACTTTGTCTGTTGCACATGATTGACTTTTTAGATAATGGAAAGAGTATCCGGCCTCATCCTCATTGAAGAGGAGTCAGACTAACTTATCACAACTTACTTAACAACTCTGTAAACAAAGTTCTTGTAAGAAAAACAACTTAAAACCCAATTCTAAACAAAGAACATAGGACCCAAAGAGACTTACTGCCGTGGTCTCCAAAGTTCGACAAGCCTTCACCATAAGCGCTTGTTGAACCTCACACCGTTGTAATTGGGCTCCGAACCGAAGCCAATGCCCCCCCCCAATAACACCCGCAAAAGAGAATTGGTCGACAACCGTTAAAAACAACTTTGTTCCTTGTTATCCAGATTGACTATAAAATGGCTGCCGCACTAACCAGTAAGAGTGATCGAAAATGCTTATCTTTCTAAGAGTACCATCCATTAAACAAGTTACAGGGCATTTTGAGGTGGCTTAATTTCTAACACCATATGAACCGCTCTCCATAAAAACATGGCATGTGAGCAATCAAAGGAGAGATCAATACTACATAAATCTTATTGCAGGCGGGTATTTTGGGTTAATGGAGGTAGGTAAAGCGTCCGCCTCCGCCAAAAAACATGCATTAATGCGGCTTTACAGAGGCGGGCGTTAACACCATTAACACATGCAGCCACCGAATGCCTGCGTTAATAACCATTAATAGAGGTGGCAGCACTAAGGTGCCCGCCTCCGCAAACGGATTAACGGAGGCAGCCCTTTTTAATATGCCCGCCTCTATTAATCATTTTTCATTTTAAAAAAAATAGCCCGCTATTTTATTTGAATTTGAATTCTGTTTTTGCGATTTAACCCACCCGCCTCGGTTAATGGGTTAACGGTTGATAATTAATGCAGGCAGGTGCTCGGTCGCGAGCCTTGCCACAGATTAACGGAGGCGGACGCCCACTGTGCCCGCCTGCGTTAATAAGAGGGCAGTGCCTCACGAAATCGTTTTTGTAGTAGTGGATGTTGGATGGTTTCAAGTTTGCTACAAAACCAA